TTATGTTCGCCCCTAACGGCCGCCCGGATGTCAAGTAGGCTGTGATGTACTAAACTATTGCGCTTTTTATTGTGTTTAACATTTGGTATATTTTTCACTATAAATGTGACCCGAATTTCAATCTCTCCGCGATATTTATTGGCCTTTTTGTTTGATCGGCCCTCGAGTTCATACCATCGACTCTTTGGCCTCTCGTAGATATCAAAGTCCTTCAACGGCACAAACGTTTGACCCAAGAATTCGTCGGCCAAACCAAACAGATTGCGATGAAATACAATCAGTTTAATACTATCCGTCTCTTTATTATCGATTATTCTGTGAAAATTGAGATTATTTTTCCCAAAATTAAAAAATGCTTTTGAAATTGGATTTATTTTTCTAAAGATATGTCATATTTTTAGATATAAATTGAAAAACAATTTTGCAATTTGTTTGTATTTTTGGGTAAAAAATAGAAATTTAATAACAATTTGATATAAGAATATTCAATCCATTGTAATAGATGTTTGAAACTATTATACAATTTAGTTCACTTAATTGTGACCTCGTTTTAGAAAAATGTTATATTAAATTGGATTGAATTGTTTAATTTCATTCACAAACGTGAAAATGTTTTTTATATTTGTTGATTATTTCTTATAATTCAAATGAATCGGCAAAACTGTATGCATTGTTTTAAACGAAAGTTATTTTTATAATATTTAATACATTTTACGGACTCATAACTAAAATTAATTAAAATTAAGGAAATTACAAAAAGTAAATACTTTTGTCTTTAAAATAGGGCTTAACTTAATTTATGAGAATTTGTCAAATTCTTTGCCAAAATTCCTATATTAATATGTAATGTCTAATGAAATATTATAAACTATGTATAAAAACACTAACTTTTATTTTTAAACACAAACATATTCAGCGCCTATTAAACAGTAGATTTGTATTAAAACCTTGACATAAAATGTGATTAAAATATAATTTAAAATAAATTTTCCAATGTTTTGATTTAATTGAAGTAAAGTATTGCACACTTTTGTGAATTGAAAAATTCACAGTTATTAGCTTTTTTATATACTGAATAATAGTTTTAAAATTTAAAATAATAATGAAATCGTGTTATAATAATAAAATGGTCAATTGATTTTAAATTGTAATTGGTCATTTTGTTTTCATTATAAAATTTATATAAATTATGTGCAATTACATTTAAAAACTACATTGATACTTATTTAACTTACTATAAACTCGCAATTATTACTGCATTAAATCTATTAAAAGTTTGCTAACAATTCAATTATATTGTTATGTAATGTGTTATTAAAATTCAATCATTTATTATCTCATTGTGCGCTCACTTTAGCGATAATATCTATTATGTATTTTATAATTCAGACAAAACACTGATAAAGAATTCAATTTCCTCTCAAAACAGACTAAAAATAATACTTAAAAAATGAAAATTATTATGTATTTGAGTGATAATAAAAAGTGATTACAAATCGCATTCTTCGTGCCAAATGGGATCAATTGATTGTTCTTTCACTGATGTCTGAAACTTTTCTTTTCCATTCTGTATAATAACATAGGAATCGTTTGTACCTAAAAATGCATACAATATTATCGTTAAAAGTAATATAAAGATTATATAACATAATTATAGATGTATTTAATAGCGATATTCTGTCTCCTATTATATAATGTATTCCACTTTATTCTCAATGCAAATATAAAGTGCCTAACAGTGGAGTTGATGTCAATATAATTTCAATATAATTTCTAATGAAACGGTTGGTGAACACGAAAGCAAAACTTTAAAAATAGTACAAAATGTTTGTTAAAACTTCAATACTATATGAGAATCAAGTGAAACAACATATAAAGAGGAAGTGTTTAGTAATTTTTGGTATTAGTTTTGTTGTTATTGCGGATGACATTCATTGTAAGCAAAGGGAAATGATTTTATGCCTTTTTTAGCAGAATTTTGTTTGAAATATAGTCCTAAATAATGTATGTATTATATTATACTGCAAACTATATGACTGAAAATGTTTTAATAAACACCAGAAACTAATTATAAGGAATTTATAACAAGTATACAATATTTGGGATTAGATTATAATTTTATTTGTTTAAAATGTTATATTTCTCACAACGCAAACACCGAAAAGGTTAGGGCATGAAAATTGATTAACAACTGTGTTATTAAATAAACCTTTTTTTGGAAAATAATATATATTTTTAAAACAATGTTTTTAAGAAATTTAATCTATAAATGAAATGAAAATTTAAAAGTTGATTTATATTTATTAACCAATAATAATTATGAAACAAAACTTACCATTTTTGCCTTTGGCGATCACATTGCGGGCTCTTTGAACTGGAAAATAAATAATGAAAATTTTAAATATGTATTAATCGTATTGTTTTAGAAATTGTATTTCACAAAACATGGTAATTGTATTATGATTTCTAGTTGTTATTCCTTATCCAAAGCATTTTCAGTAATAATTATTTGCCCGAAAATGTTATGTCATATACGATATAATTGTTGATTGTATTTGTATTTCTGCAAATATTTTCTTTTGAAATACATTTTTTCGTGATTTTTGTTATTTTTATATCATTTTATTCGTTCATTAATTGTTGAAATATAAGGCAAATTCACTACAATTTAATTATAATTTTTATTTTTAGTTTTATGTTTCCAAACCAAACATACAGTTATATTATGGATATTTACATATAAACACCAATTCATGTGATATACTGTACGGTAATTGGATTTTTGTTTCAAATTAATTACCTGTCATTTTAATGGTATTAAAAAATATTTTAATTAAAATTTTGTGTATTATTCTAATCAATAACTAAATGTTTTCAATTCATGTGATATACTGTACGGTAATTGGATTTTTGTTTCAAATTAATTACCTGTCATTTTAATGGTATTAAAAAATATTTTAATTAAAATTTTGTGTATTATTCTAATCAATAACTAAATGTTTAAAATTTTATTGTTAATGTTTCAGTAAAAGTAATACAGAACTTATATTTTTAATTCATATAAGAAATTATAGTTAATTTGTATATAATTCAAGTCGTGTTCAACTGATTATGGTTTTAAATTATTGTATAATACAAATGAATGCAAAACCAAACATCACTTTTGGTTTCATATCCCACAGAGAGGTCTGAATTTTCTTGTTTTGGTTTTGTGTTAATAAAAATACAAATGAATATTCATTTCATAATTGATTATTAAGATTACAATTCATTTGTGGGGAAAGAAATTATTCATTGTTTTGAATACGGAATTCAAGTAAAACAAGTATAATGTAAGGGAGACAAAGTTTTTTACATTTCAGTGCAAATTATGATAGCATTTAATATTTCTCTTTGAACTCCTTTTGCAAACTGAAATACAATCACAAAAAGTGCATAAAATTGGTTTAAACTTAAACTGATTCACAAAATGTGTTATAAAAGGCAGAAGTCTTTTGTGAAAGAGTGGGTGCGAGGAGTGAAATGAAGTTTTTCTACCTTTTGATGATATTATATAATATAAAGTATATATAATAAATATAATAATTTGTAAACAATTTTGTCGATCACATTTTGAGGTCAAAATGAAATTATGTTATTTTGATATAAAGCACAAAATTATTAAGGAATCGGAAAATTGATTCAAATTATGGCTTATTTATGTTAATATCAGACGTGAAGCAAAGCTAATGTCTGGCATCTTATTATATAAAACACATTTAATTTAAATTTGATTTAAATTATACTAAAAATATGATTGATTTCTATTATAATATCAATCATTTGTATATCAAACGTGTGTTTTCTATATTAGTCTAAACATGTCTTTTATATGGAAATACTTTAGATTTAATTTAAAATTAACCCCAAATTTGATCACACGAGGGCTTTAACCGAATGTATTTTATTATGGTCAAATATAATTTTATAATTGTTTACTTTATGTAAAAATATGTTGAATTTATATCTATATACGACATTTCTTAAGCTAATTATTGAATTCATATTTAGTTTTAGATACTTATCACTTAATAATTTGTAAACTTGAATTTATCGTAAACTTTATGAGAAATTAAAATTTTTTTTTGTGAAAAAATCACAAAGATTAGCAAAATAACTGTGATATCTCTTATGCTTAATAAACATAAATTTTGTAATCAAAGGGCTATTAATATCATATCATAATTTAGTCAAATCTTTGAAACTTAAACCTTATTTTAAATACTTATCGTAATTGTCGGTACAAATATGCTTTACTGCGAAAAATATGAAAAAACTTTAGGACATAATAATAGTAATTAAGTTTGAATAAATTAAACGCAAAACTGACATGGACACTTGTTTCCCTATGTTTCTATTCGCGTAAACATACAAATGTAGATAATATTTAAATTAATAGTTATATACTTTAACGGAAAATTTGTTTTTATTTCAATGTTTTCTCATAACAATAATTTTAGACCAAAGAAAACAAAGTTAATTACCAGTGAATACAAGAATCAAAAGCTAATTAACCGAAACCAATAGTTAGTGAATACAGAGAAAGACTTTTTTTAAATTTTATTTCTAAACATAATGTCAATTGTAATCAAAAATACAACTCACTTGACATGCATTCAGACGTGCATTAAATGTCTAAAAATCATAATAAAAATCATAACTAAATATGTTTTATTCAAAAAATGCATTTTTATTATGATTTGTGCTTTTATTGATGGGTCGTTGGCACTAACAGAAGCTCATTGTCTTCAGTGCTATAATGTTAGGTATATTTTAGGCAAAATTTGGTTTCCTCTCCTATTTTACTTACAACACTAATATGTATTGTCTATAAGATTGCAACACAAATCTCACTGCTCTTCCCCTTATCTCAGCATTTATTTGTAGAAAACATATATTACTTGAAAGGAGTTGTGGAGACGATAGGGAAGTAA